TTACTCCATCAACCTACCCCCTCCCTTCTGTAACCCTCAGTTTGTTTCGTGCAGTCCAGAGTCTCTCTTGGTTTGTCTCCCTCTCTGATTTCTTCCCATTCAGTTTTCCCTCCCATCCCCTGTATCCTCCGATCTATTCCTTATGTTCCACATAGTAACTTGACTTATTTCGCTAAGCAGAATCCCCTCCAGTTCCATCCATGTCAATGCAAATGGTGAGTATTCATCCTTTCTGATGGCTGACTAATATTCCATTGTATATATGTACTGCCTCTTCTCTATCCATTCTTCCTTTGAAGGGCCTCTCAGTTCCTTCCAGAGTTTGGCTATTGTGGACATTGCTGCTATGAACTATGCGGTGCATGTGCCCCTTCTTTTCACTACATATGTATCTTCGGGCTAAATACCTAGTAGTGCAATTGCTGGGTCATAGGGTAGCTCTATTTTTAATGTCTTGAGAAACCTCCATACTATTTTCCAGAGTGGCTGTTCAAGCTTGCATTCCCACCAACAGTGTAAGAGTGTTCACCTTTCTCCACAACTTTGCCAACACTTGTTTCCTGTCTCGTTTATTTTGGCCATTCTAACTGGTATAAGGTGGTATCTCAATGTGGTTTTGATTTGGATTTCCCTGATGGCTAGCGATGTTGAACTTTTCTTTATATGTCTCTTAGCCATTTGTATGTCTTCTTCAGAGAAGTGTCTTTTCATATCTTCTGCCCATTTCTTGACTGGTTTGTTTTTTGGGTGTTGAGTTTGAGAAGTTCTTTATAGATCTTGGATATCAGCCCGTTATCTGAAATGTCATTTGCAAATATCTTCTCCCATTCTCTGGATTGCCTCTTAGTTTTGTTGACTGCTTCCTTTGATGAGCAAAAGCTTTTTACCTTGATGAAGTCCCAAACGTTCATATTTGCTTTTGATTCTCCTGCCTTTAGAGACGTGACTTGAAACAAGTTCTTGTGGCCATTGTCAAAGAGGTTATTGCTTATGTCCTCCTCTAGGATTTAATCGATTCCTGTCTCACATTCAGGTCTTTCACCCATTTTATCTTTGTGTATGATGTAAGAGGATGGTCTGGTTTCATTCTTCTGCATGTGGTTGTCGAATTTTCCCAGCACCATTTATTGAAGAGACTGTCTTTTTTTCCCCCATTCGATGTTCTTTCCTGCTCTGTCGAAGATTAGCTGACTGTAGATTTGAGAGTCCATTTCTGGGGTCTCTACTCTATTCCACTGATCTATGAGTCTGTTTTTGTGCCAATACCATACTGTCTTGACTACAGCTTTGCAATATCGCTTGACGTCAGGCATTGTGATACCTTCAGGTTTGGTTCTCTTTTTGAACATTCCCCTGCCAATTCGGGGTCTTTTTGTTCCATAGCAATTTTAGGATTATTTGTTCCAGCTCTGTGAAAAATGTCAATGCTTTTTAGAAAGGGATTGCATTGAAAGTTTAAATTGCTCTGGGCACCATAGAATTTTTACAATATTTATCCTTGCAATCAATGAGCATGGAATGTTTTTTCATCTCTTTGTGTCTTCCTCAATTTCTTTCATAAGTGTTCTGTAGTTTCTAGAGTATAGATCCTTTACCTGTTTGGTTAGGTTTATGCCTAGGTATATTATGGTTTTTGGAGCTCTTGTAAATGGAATTCTCATTATGCAACATTATTAAGATAAATAGTAAGACATCCAAATCTAGACCCATAATGGCATAACTGCAGTAAACACACAAAGAAAAAGAATTCTTCCCCCCCCCCAAGAGTAAAATGTTTAAAGCAACCAAAAATTGTGGGGAAAAGGAGCAGAGTGGGGAACAGATTATGTTCAAAGGAGAAAAAGGCAAACAGCTATTTTCTAAAGAGCAATTATGAAAGACAAAGGGCAGTGGAATGACATTTTCTGTAGGATCAAAGAAAATAACTACTCACCTAGGATTCTCTATGCTGTGAAAATGTATATCAGGGGTAAGAGGAAATAAAGCCATTTTTACTTATTTTTTAAAGATTTTATTTATTTGAAAGAGAGTGAGAGAGAAGGAGTGAGAGAGGGAGAACAAGTGTGGGGAGGGGCAGAGAGAGAGGGAGAAACCGACTCCACGCTGAGCAGTGAGCCTGAAGTGTGGCTCAATCCCAGGGTCCTGGGATCCTGACCTGAGCCAAAGGCAGACACTTAATCAACTGAGCCACCCAGGCACCCAATAAAGACATTTTAAACAGATTCATTACCTGGCAGTTCTCACTCATGGAAATTTTAAAGAATGTACATAAACAAACAGAAGCAAAATAATCCCAAATAGAAATTCTGAGATGCAAGAGGACAGGGAAAAAAATTTAAATGAATGCTGACAGTATCATGTAAAAGTTATAAAATGTCGAGTATTTTTTAAAGATACAAGAGAGAATTAAAAAACAAAGCAACAATACGCATATTTTTGGAGCTATGTAAATTGAGTTAAAAGTATTCAAAACTATTTGCATTATCATTATCCATGAACAGAGAGGAGAAAATCCTCACCAAGATATCATCATAACAAGAGTAGCAATGTATGCAACAGATGAATGAAATCACAACTAAATTCAGTTTACCTAACAAATGCAAGGTTGGTTTCACACGAGCACATAATGTAATTCACCAATTTGACAAATTTTTAAAAAATTTTCTCAATATATGCAAAACAAACATCTATTATCTTTCAACATTCATGATAAAACTTAGAAAACTAGTCGTATAAGGGAACTTTGTTAATATAATTGTAACAGAAAGACCCTAGGTGACCCCATAATAAATTCCCTGTGGTCTTCTCAGGCTTTTATAAATCTTTTCCCTTAAGTGTAGCCAAGATCTGTGACTTGACTCTAGCCATCAGAAAATGGCAAATGTAACGGAATTTTGCAGATACAATTGTTAATTTTGAGTTAATCAGGAGGGGATTATTCTATGTAAGCCTGATTTAAGCAGGTGAAGCCCTTAAAAGAGGACTGAGCCCTCTCTGCAGTGAAATTCTTCTTGTTGGCCTCATGAAGTAAGCAGCCATATTGGGGAAGCCTACATGGCCAAGAACAAGGAACAGCCTTTCTATAGACTGAATATTTGTTCCCCCCACTCCCAAATTCATGTATTAAATATTAATGTTCAATGTAATAGTATCTGGAGGTGGGGGCTTTGGGAAGTGATTAAGTCATGAAGGTGGAGCCCTCATGAATGGGATTAGTGCCCTTATAAATAAAGGATACCTGAGAGAGCTCCCTTGGCCCTGTCCCTTATGAGTAAACAGGACGAAGACCAGCATCCATGAACCAGGAAGCCGGGGGGCAGTCAATCATCTGCAGAAGACGTGGCCTGGCACAGGGTATCTGAGAAAGGGGATATTTACATGTCTCAAAGTAATTCCCCTAAAATACTAATTAATTATAAAGTGGAAAGTTAACATTCCAGAGGAGAATCCTGGCAGATATTAACTCCAGGATCAATGCTAACATGACCAACAATGGGACAAATCAAAGTTGTAGGTCACATGATAGGATGCAATGAGAAGAGTAGAGGACCACTTCATACTCTTGCTAAAAATGTATGATCTAAATTTTATTAAAGTTGTTGTTTTTTTTTTTAATTTGTCAGAGAGAGATTGAAAACACAAGCAGGGGGAGTGGCAGGCAGAGGGAGAAGCAGGCTTCCCACTGAGCAGGGAGTCTGATGCAGGACTTGATCGCAGGACACCAGGATCATGACCTGAGCCAAAGGCAGTTGCTTAACCAACTGAGCCACCCAGGTGTCCCTGATCTGAATTTTATCATAAGGAGACATAAAAAAACCCACACTGAAAGACATTCTACATTACTGGAATTAAGTGTTTAAAAGATTAAAAGTCATGAAAATTAAGGAAAGACTAAGGAACGATTCTAAACTGAAAGAACTAAGAGACACAACATCTGAATTAAATACATGGCTCTGAACAGGATCTTCCTTATGTATAGGGTATTACAGACAAGTGACAAAACTTAAAAATATGAGGATTAAATGATAGAATGTACAGGGTGCCTGGGTGGCTCAGTTGGTTAAGTGTCTGCCTTTGGCTTAGGTCATGATTCCGGCATCCTGGATCGAGCCCCACGTCGGGCTCTCTGCTCAGTGGGGAGCCTCCTTCTCCCTCTCCCTCTGCCTGCCGCTCTGCCTACTTGTGCTCTCCCTGTCAAATAAAAAAAATCTTAAAAAAAAAAGATAGAATGTATAGTTGACATGGTTGGAATGGGGGCACTTATATGCAGATGCTTTCAATAAATACATGATAGTACTGTAAATGTAAAGGGACATCACGTATTTCTGACTGCAAGGGGTCAGTAACCCTAACCCCGACATTATTCAAGTGTTAATTGTATTAAAGCTAATTGTCTGATTGTCAGGGTTGTACAGTAGTTATGTGGAATGTACTGACTTGTAGGATATAAGTGCTATGGGACTCAGGCATAATCTAACAATTTACTTGCAAATGGTTCTGAGGGAAAAAGTTCTTTTTTCTTTCTCTAATTTTTCTTTTCTATAATTTTAAGACTGTTTTCAAAAAGTAAATCAAAAATAAACAGAAAAGGTGAAAAGCCTTAGGCAAATCTTATTTCACCATGAGGAAAGAGCTATGAATCAATACTTAAAATTAAAATTATACATAGGTTTTATGGCACTATAAAAATTGTAATACATACAAATATTGATAATAGCCTTAGCAGCAATATATCAAAATGATGTCTGTGTAAATCTCTAGGTCCATATGTAGTAATAAAAACTGGAAAATACAAAAACGCTATCAATTAACACCCCTGAACTACTAATGACAATTTGGTTGGTTGGGTGCTGTTTGAAAAGCTGGTATTTGGGCAGCTTGAAGCATGTAAAAGCCAATACTGCTGGTTTCGATGTATAAAACCTGCTTAAAAGTTAATTAGGTGCCAAGAAACGTAGCTTAAAATATTATATAAACTTTCATTACACACATGATCTGGAACAATTTTCCTTTATTCAAGATTTTCACACAATACGTTTAGTAGGACACAATTAAAATGTTATACAAACATCCAGTAAATAAATTTTACTATTTGTCTTTCAGAACATATAATTTTTCTTCAAAATCTGTAAATATTCTTTTGACGATTTCACTAGTAGATCGACATCTGCATGTGATTCATAAGTAGATTCTAAAGAGGAGGTCTTACACCATGAGTCTGATTCAATTTCAGCAGCAGCTGAAAAGAAAAAGAATTATACATTCTTTATCTAAAATACTTTGTAGTTAACTACAAGTTAGTAAAAAACAAAGTTGAAGCCTTATGAGTGTTAAGAAGAATGAAAAATATCTACATAGAACTACAATATAAAATGCAAGATTACTTTTAAATATATTTTGCTCATGGTTGCCCACTGAGTTAATTGCTATTGTGGATAAATATCAGAGCTTCTAGTTTTCTCATTACAAGATGAAATTACAAGATGATGACAGAACCCACCCCTAAACAATCAAATACTAGAAACTGAAAAATGAAACAGGCAATTTTAGACTTGAATATACCATGACAGGTATAAAACAAGACAGTGTAAGAACACACAGAAGGGACATCCTAGTTTTCTGTCAATACTGTCTGCTTTTTGGTGGAGGTGATATGTAAGTTGATACCTGATGTACAAAGAAAAAGTTTGCCAGGTGGAGGGAAGACACATATACAAAGAACATATACAAAGAGTGAGGAAGAACACTTGTGGAATTGCAAGTAGTCTACGCTGAAGAGGTGCTAGAGCAAAGCAACAGAGTAGGGTAAGTAGCGACAGAGAAGGCTGAATAATCTGGCAAGAACCAAATTGACTTGGGTGTTTTTATTCCATATAAGGAACTTGGAATTTTACTCAATGGCAAAAGGTAAGCCAATGACAAAATCAATGACTGGAGATTTAAATATCACCTGTCAAGTGACAGCTATATGGACTATAATTGCTTAAATATTACTAAGACAAGTCTGGTTGTTTTGGTCTTATACCACTAGCAGAAACAAGAATTTGAGACAGCCCACATATTCAGGTTGACGGTTCCATAGGAATGGCAGAAGTAAAGGAAGATTATAGCCAGAAATAATAACAGCTACGTTGACATTTGGAGATTTTTTAAAAAGTCTGAATGAACACGATGACTAAATGAGGAATAAGTAAGCTCTTCATTATGTTTATGTTTTATTTTTATTAGATATATATTTAAAAATTTTAATGTAGTACCTATTATCCAAACAATGGACAGGGATGCCATTTACTATTCATAGTTTATTTCAGAAATCAATGACCATCTTAATTCATAAATTTGGCAACATACCTTCTTCTAGTTCTCTAGTTATATTCCTTTCCATCTCCTGCTGCATCTGAAAGAAGTCAAATATTACTTATAATGTTCAAGTTAAACAAGAGACATTATTGTAGGAAGTATATAAAGCTTATGAAATGTGGTCTTTAAATAACACTTTTAGAGACTAAAACTAAGCTAGGGGTTGCTTAAATAGAAAGATAATCACATAAATAAAATAAATCCCTACTTATTTTAATCTTAGGTAACTGAGAAGAAACATATGTAATGCTATTTAGATGAATCTGATAAAAAGTACAATTAATATTAGTCTATTGAATATATATACTTTCTGAAAGAAGAGGAAGATGGCGGAGGAGTAGAGGACCATAGTTTTGTCCGATCCCTGGAATTCAGCTGGATAGCTTTCAAATCATTCTGAAGACCTGTGAACTCAACCTGAGATCTAAGAAAAGAACTGTTGCAATTCTACACATAGAAAAGCGACCAATTTCTGTGAGGTAGGAGGTGTGGAGAAGCGAATCCGCGGTGATACATGGGAAGATAAACCGTGGGGGGGGGAGGGAGCTTCCATAAGCTGGCTATCAGAAAGTGATAAAGCAGTGGTGTGCAAAGCAGAACTTTTAGAAGTCTGCTCCGGTGAGGGACATCCCTGTTTGAAAGGCGCTCAGGTGCAGAAGCAGGGTGGAATGCTAGGTGGGACAGCCTTATCTCAGGATCCCCAGGGTCACAGAAAGAATGGGCGTGCCTGAGTATGGCAGAGTTCCCAGGCATTTGAGCAGTGAAGCTGGCTCCAATCAGAGAGCTGAGGAGGGGGCTTTCAGCTCAGTGTTGCCATAAACCTCAATCCGCAGCCAGTGGGGTGACCGCTCTCAGAGCAGGGGCCGTACAAGTGGCAGAAGCAGGGTAACACCTCCCTCCCTCCCCCAGGAGGAGTGGCATGAATGCATGCCACAGAAGACTGCAAAGTTTGGAAACTCCAAAGGGGGTTGTATGCCTGAGATAAAAATGTTCAGTCACAGGCTGGGTGTACACAGAATGCAGACAGAAACCATGGAGGCGAGAGTGATTGACAGCTTCTCCATGAGGGCACACTGAGGAGTGGAGGGTGCCAGCTTTCAGCTCCAGGGCTGGACACTGGGAGGCTGACATTTTCATTCTCATCCTATAAAGTGGTGCGGAAAGCCTTCAGGGAACAAAAGCCACATAGAGCAATCCCGAGGCCCTGACTTAGCCTGTCCCCCTGGCAAGAGCATTACAATACTGCTGGAACAAAGACCCCTGAGAATCAGCACCACAGGCCTGTCCTCCAGAAAATCAGCAAGAACATCCGGCTAAGACCAAGTTTACCGATCACACAGAACTGCCAAACTCCAGCACTAGAAGAAATTACTATATAGCATTCATGGCTTTTTCTCATGATTCCTTAATCTCTCAATTATAATTTTTTTGCCTTTTCAACCAATATCTTATTTTATCAACTCGCTTTTTAAAACTTTTTCAATGTTCATTTTTATAATTACATTCTATACTTTCATTGTATTTAATTTTATTTTTCCATATATGTAAGTTTTTCTTTCTTTACAATTTTGGGGTGTAGTTTCTTCTAACAAACAGACCAAAATATACCCAGAATCTACTGTACTGCTCTGTTCTCATCACATGTCTGATTATATTCTCTTTTGTCTTTAATTCTTATTTATTTTTTTGGTTTCAGGTCTCCTCTGATTTGTTAAGAGTAGATTTCTCTGGGGTCGTTGTTGCTATTTTAGTAGTTTGTTCTCTCGTTCATCTATTCTCTAGATAGAATAACTAGATGGAAAAACTCACCTCAAATAAGAGAACAAGAGACAGTACTGACTGACAGGGACCTAATCAGTATGGATAAAAGTAGGATGTTGCAATTAGAGCTCGGAATAACAATTACAAAGATGCTAGCTGGGCTTGAAAAAGCACAGAAGACACTACAGAATGCCTTTCTGGAGAAATAAAAGAACTAAAAGCTTAACAAATCGAAATCAAAAGGCTATTAATGAGATGTAATAAAAAATGGAGGCTCTACCTCTGGAAAACAGTATGGAGGCTCCTCAAGAAGTTAAAAATACAGCTACCCGATGGCCCAGTAATTGTACTACAAGGTCTTTACCCCAAAGATGCAAATGTAGTGATCAGAAGGGAGCTACCCGATGGCCCAGTAATTGTACTACAAGGTCTTTACCCCAAAGATGCAAATGTAGTGATCAGAAGGGGCACCTGGACACCAATTTTTATAGCAGCAATATCCACAATAGCCAAACTGTGGAAATAGCCCAAATGTCCATCAACAGATGAATGGATAAAGAAGATGTGGTATATATAAATACAATGGAATATTACTACGCCATCAAAAGGATGAAATCTTACAATTTACATTGACGTGGATGGAAATGGAGGATATTATGCGGAGAGAAAAGTCAATCAGAGAAAGACAATTATCATATGGTTTCAGACATATGTGAAATATAAGAAAAAGTGCAGAGAATCGCAGGGGAAGGGAGAGAAAACTATAATGGGAAGAAACCAGAGAGGGAAACAAACCATGAGAGACTCTTAACTATAGGAAACAAACTGAGGTTTGCTGGAGGGGAGGTCGGGGGGGGATGTGGGGTAAGTGGGTGATGGGCATGAAGGAGGGCACGTGATGTGCAGAGCACTGGGTATTATAAACAACTGATGATTAACTGAACCCTACATTTGAAACTAATGATATATCATATGTCAGCTAACTGAAGCGAAATTTTAGGGGTGCCTGGGTGGTTCAGTTGGTTAAGCGGCTGTGTTTGGCTCAGGTCATAATTCCGGGGACTTGGGATCGAACCCATGTTGGGCTCCTTACTCAGTGGGGAGTGTGCTTCTCCCTCTCTGTGCTCTCTCTTTCACTATCTCTGTCTCTGTGTCAGATAAATAAATAAATCTTTAAAATAAAATGAAATTTTAAAAAAAGTTATCACATACATATGGGTAATGATGAATTAAAACATTATTTTTTAAAGATTTTATTTATTTATTTGACAGAGAGAGACCAAGAAGAGAGGGAACACAAGCAGGGGGAGGGGGAGAGGGAGAAGCAGGCTCCCCACAGAGCACGGAGCCCAATGTGGGGCCCGATCCCAGGACCCTGGGGTCATGACCTGAATCGAAGGCAGATGCTTAATGACTGAGCCACCCTGGCGACCCAATAAAACATTATTTACTTATCTTTTCCAGACTTACTGAGCTATACTTAATAAAAATTATGTATTTAAAATTAAAAAAAAAAATTGGAGGCTCTGCCAGGATAAATGAGGCAGAAAGGAGAAGTAGTGATACAGAAAAGAAAATGATGGGGTATATGGGCACCTGGGTGGCTCAGTCATTAAGTGTAGGCCTTTGGCTCAGGCCATGATCCCATGGTCCTGGGATCGAGCCCCGCATCGGGCTCTCTGTTAAGTGGAAGGCCTGCTTATTCCTCACCCACGCCCCCTGCTTGTGTTCCCTCTCTTGCAGTGTCTCTCTCTGTCAAATAAATAAATAAAACCTTTAAAAAATAAAAAATTTTTAAAAAATAATGGAAAATAAAGAAATTGTGAAAAAAGATAAAAAAAGATGAACAAAAAGATCATGAGGTGAGAATTCAAGAGATAAGTGATACCATAAAGCGAAACAATAGTAGAATAACTGGGATCCCAGAAGAAGAGGAAGGGGGGTGGAAGAAGGTATATTTGAGAAATTATAGCAGAAAACCTCCCTAATCTGGAGAAGGAAACAGGCATTCAAATCCAGGAGGCACAGAAACCCCAACCCCCTTCAACAACAATAAAAACAGGTCCACACCTCGACATAAAGTAGTGAAGCTTGCAAATTTCAGAGACAAAGAGAAAATCCTGAAAGCAGCTCGGCACAAGAGGTCCTTAACCAACAAGGGTAGAAATATTCGACTGGCAGGAGACCTAACCACAGAGACCTGGCAGGCCAGAAAGGCCTGGTGTGATATATTCAGGGTGCTAAACGAGAAAAATATGCAGCCAAGAATACTTTATTTATCCAGTAAGGCTGTCATTCAAAACTGAAGGAGAGATGAAGAGTTTCCAGGACAAACAGAAACTAAAACATCTGTGATCACCAAACCAGCCCTGCAAAAATTTTAAAGGGGATCCTTTACGCAGAGAGAGCCCCAAAGTAACACACACCAGAAAGGAACACAGACAATATACAGAAACAGTGACGTTACAGGTAATACAATGGCACTAAATTCGTATCTTTCAATAGTTACCCTGAATGTAAATGGGCCAAATGTCCCAATCAAAAGACACAGGGTATCAAATTGGATAAAAAAGCAAGACCCATCGATATACTGTCTGCAAGAGAATCAGTTAAGACCTAAGGTAACCGCCAGATTACAAGTGAGGGAGTGGAAAACCATTTATCACGCTAATAGACATCAAAAGAAAGCTGGAGTAGCAATCCTTTTATCAGACAAATTAGATTTTAAACAAAAGACTGTAATAAGAGATGAGTAAGGACACTATCATAATGACTTAAAGCGGTCTATCCAACAAGAAGATCTAACAACTGTAAATATTAGTGCCCCTAACATGGGAGCAGCCAATGACATAAACCAATTAATAACAAAATTAAAGAACACATAGATGATGATACAATAATAACAGTGAATGACACACTGGACTGTGGGAAACAAAACACAACAAAAACCACTGGTGCATAATCGTTCAGATTCCGAGGTCTCTGAGAAAACTCGAGATTGCAGGGTTAAAAATAAGCTGAAAGGATTAGAGTGAAATGCCCTTGGGAGGTATGTGGTCTGTTCTGAAGTACGCAGCAGATGTTTTGTAGATAGGAAGCCACCTGTAAACAGCACACTGTACACTCTGCTCTTTGCTCCCTTGTCCTGCTTTAAAGATTCTTATCATACACGTGGAACTAATCCTATGTACATGGAAGAATATGCCTTACTAAGCCACTGCTGTAAATCATTACAGATCTATATCGCTGTAGAAAGTATATATGATTATGGAAAAT